ACCACCACCGCCACCACTACTACTACTACTACTACTACTACTACTACTACTACTACTACTACTACTACTACTACTACTCCGCCCGCTCTGGAGAGATCTCTGCAGCGTCCACCGCGCTCGAACGCGCCTGCCGCGGGGAGGGGGTCGAACAGAAACACTACTCCCCGCCATCCCACACGTTCTGCTTCCATCCTCCCCCATTGCCAACGTGCCAGTCGTCGAGCAGCAATCGCTCCGTGTCCTGATCGGACGCCTCCTGCTCGGACGCCTCGTCGAAGTCGTCCTCGAACTCCTCCTCCTCCTCGTCCTGAGCATACGGCGGAGGGGGGCACGACGGTTGATCCGGGTGCAGTGTCTATCGCCCATATGCCGCAAGGGCCTGGCTATCATTATACCCCTCGCACGCTGAGGTAGTGTTTGAAACTCCTCCCCTTGTTCGAAGTGGAACGCAGACGACGATCCATGAACAGAACCGTCCGAACAGCATTGCTCGAGCAGCAACGAGGTATACAACTGGAATTTACCAGCCTGTCCAGTCCCGCCTCCAGTTCAGCACGCTGCCGAAACTCAAATCGCGTCCGTGGAGGATTGTCAACCACTCGCGCAAGGGTCAACCAGAGTGCCGAAATTTGACCAGCACGTGCGCAGGCTCTGGAACCCTGATTGATATCAAGAGCAACCTCTGACTTGGCAGATGTGTCCAGCAGAAGTTGTTCGGTCGTATGTGCTGTACCGAAACGAGTGATGCGCACTCGATGTCTGCTCGCAGGGGCGATTGGCAACCGTTAAGCCTGACGAGCGTCGTGCGCAACACAGGGAATATGAGCATAGCGTGCACGTCGAAGTGCCACATCGGGGCTGCAGGATTGCGAAGCTGATGGCCATGAACACAAAGCTGCGCAATCATAAGAGGAGATGTGCTTATATAAGTATTGTTTGAAATATGTAGACACGTATAGATGCAGGGAGGATGTACGTCGCCCCTATCAGTGAGACAGGAGGAGAAAGGATGATGGGGATCACCACGGCGAGGCTGGTATGTAAGATGGCCTCCCATGCCAGATCGTCACGTCAGACCAGGGAGTGTTGGCTTCAGAAGCGCAATCACTCCCTCATGTCAAGGACGACGGAAGCACGCGGAATTCGCAGGCCCAACGGGCCAGAGGCGTGCTAAGATCTCCGGTAACGACTTAACAATATTTCTAGTTCGCGCGCGCGGGGCGGCCCCTGGGGGTCCCCGGACGAAAAGTACCCCAGCCGATCCCAGGCCGGGTCCCGGGCGATCCCCAGGGGGGAGGCTATTTTTCGCCACCCCTCACGAGGATCGTGGCCTCCGAGGGGGTGGCTGCAATCGACTACCCCCCTCCCGCCCCAAGGGGCCCCCAAGAGCCCCCTAAGAGGCCCCAGGGGAGCCCAAGACGCCGCCAAGGAGCCCCAAGACGCTCCCAAGAAGCCCCCAAGAGGCCCCCAACACGGCCCCAACAGGCCCCAAATAGCGCTCCAGGGCCGGCGGAATGAGCGAAGCGATTGAATCATCAACCTCTATGTACTGTGACCTCTAATCCGCTCAGGACGTACGCCATCGTTGCGGACGTACGTGAAGCCAAATAACCCACTCGGAACGATCTGCAGCACCTGCTTGGCCACTGGAGCTGCAAATGCGCAACAACGACGTCCGATGGTTCTAGATGGAAAGGAGGAGGAGACTGTCAAGCTGTCAAGCGGCTACCAGCGAGCGCGCGGCCAACGAGCGAGCCGATGGCAGCCGAAAGCTTCGTGAGCGGCGACAGACGTCCGCGCAGCGAGCGCAGGAAAGGCACCATGGGACAAGGACAACGCGTAGGGGAACGAAGAATGGCATAAACATGAGGCGCCGCCAGAGGGGTCCAGCGCTGATCCGAGAAATCCGCGCGGACCTCCGAGTTTTTTATGTTTGTATCATTCTTCGGTCCCCGAACGCAGAGCCTGCAACAGCGGATAGAGAAAGTGTCGGTGCAAGGACAGCTGCCAGACGGTCAATACGAAAAGGGAACGGGCAGGGACGATTTTGACTCATTGGATTTCTCGTCTGGGTCGCTGGCTGTGGCCTGGCGGCCTCGACGGCAACGACAACGACGCACCCGGAACAGAATGTGGTTTTGACCATCGAGTTCTCAGTGGGAAGCTGCAACCGCCCCCCTCCCCCGCCCCCGCACACCCTCATCCTCTCCACCCAGGCAGTTCTTGATCGCTGATCACTTTGTCGCATTACAGCACCAACTGGTTGTGGGCAGCCAGCGCGCAACAACTGAACTCCGCGACGGCGGTGCGACACATCCAAATGAGAAGCAGCATGCTGAAATATCGACCTGGGCGGTGCGGACTAAACACAGATGGATATACACGTTCCGGTTGAATACCATTGTTCAACACTGGCTATCCCACCAACACGTCTAGCCAAGGACGCTGAAGCGTAGGACACCGCTCAGTTAGTTCAGCTTGTGGTGCACCTCCATGGACCAGACGACATGGGCGAGAACAGGCTGCTAGTTCGGGTCCCGGGATCGGAAGAGGTCAGCTCAACATTTAAAATGATGCCAAAGTCGGCTCACCATCCGCAACATCATCAGATTATTCACGAGAGCGGCGCTGACGCTGAAAAGAAACATGCATTCCTGGCGCATACGCATCGCCATGCGTTTCATTCCTCCTCCTCCTCCTCCTCTTTCTCCTCCACCTCCTCCTACTCCTCCACCACGTCCTCCTCCTCCTCCTCCTCCTTCATCTCTTCCTCCTCCTCCTCCATCATCATCATCATCATCATCATCATCATCATCATCATCATCATCATCATCATCATCATCATCATCATCATCATCATCATCATCATCATCATCATCAATCATCAATCATCAATCATCAATCATCAATCATCATCATCATCATCATCATCAGCATCAGCATCAGCATCAGCATCAGCATCAGCATCATCATCATCATCATCATCATCATCATCATCATCATCATCGTCATCATCATCATAATCATCAGCATCATCATCATTAGTATCATCATCATCGTCATCATCACCAGCAGCATCAACATCAGCATCATCGGCAGAAGCAGCATCAGCACCAGCATCATCATCCACAGCATCAGAACCAGCAGCAGCATCATCATCATCATCATCAGCAGCAGCAGCAGCTTCATCATCATCATCATCATCATCATCATCATCATCATCATCATTGTCATCCTCATCATCAGCATCATCCTCATCAGCATTGCCACCATCATCATCATCATCATCATCATCATCATCATCATCATCATCATCATATCCATCAGTATCACCATCATCATCATCGTCATCATAATCAACATCATCATCACCATCATCACCATCATCATCAGAATCCTATTCATCAGCATCATCATCAGCATCATCATCCACAGCATCATCATCAGCATCCTCATCAGCAAGATCATCATCAGAATCATCAGCATCATCATCCTCATTATCATCATCGTCATCGCCAGCAGCATCTTCATCAGCAGATTCACCCTCATAAGTATCAGCATCATCATCACCATTATCGTCATCATGATCATCATCCTCATCATCACCGCCATCATCATCATCATCATCACCACTTCCATCATCAACATGATCATCATCCTCATCATCATCCTCATCATCATCATCATCATCATCATCATCATCATCATCATCATCATCATCGTCATGATCAGCATCAGCATAAGCATCAGCAGCAGCAGTACCATCATCATCAGCAGCCTCATCCTCTTCATCCTCATCCTCATCCTCCACCTTGCCCTCCTCCACCTGCTCCTCCTCCTCCTTCTCCTCTCAGTCCTCCTCCTCGTCATCCTCCTCATCCTCCTCCTACTCATCATCATCATCATCATCATCATCATCATCATCAGCATCATCATCATCATCCTCATCATCAGCATCATCATCATCGCCATCATCATCATCATCATCATCATCATCATCATCATCATCATCATCATCATCATCATCATCATCATCATCATCATCATCATCATTCTCATCATCCTCATCCTCACTCTCCCCCTCCTCCTCCTCCTCCTCCTCCTCCTCCTCCTCCTTCTCCTCCCCCTCCCCCTCCTCCTCCCCCGTCGCACCCGTTTCGGCACACCTGTTACACTCATCACGTTCCCATGAGGAGTTCGACCGAAGGCCCCATCGGCAACGTCCGCACGCGGTTCCACTCTTCCTTTCGGCGCACTCCTCACACGTTCGGTGGCCCCATCGGGGGCTACACGTGACGCCGCGTGGCAGAGCCCGCATGAGGTTCCACCCCAAGTTCCGGAGCACCCCTCACACGCCCGTGGCCCCAAAGTGACCTCCACAGCAGGCCCCAGCGGCAACGCCCGCATGCAGTTCCTCCCCCCCTGTGCCGGCGCACCCCCCACACGCTCCGTGGCCCCATAGGGAGCCCCACCGAAGGCCCCAGCGACGGCGCCCGCGCGCGGTTCCGCCCAGCTTTCGGCACACAAAGAGAGCTCCACCGAAGGCCCGAGCGGTAGCGCCCGCATGCGATTCAACCCCTCATATCGGCAACGCCCACATGCGGCTCGCCACGGAACGTGTGAGAGGTGCACCGAAACGGGCGGCGGAACCGCATGCGGGCGCTGCCACTGGGGCCCTCGGTGAAGCTCCCTATGGGGCCACGAAGCGTGTGGGGGGTGTGCCGAAAGGGAAGGTGAAACTGCATGCGGGCGCTGCCATTGGGGCCCTCGGTGGAGCTCCCGGTAAGGTCACGAAACGTGTGAAGGGGTATGCCGAAACGATGGCATGCGGAGGGTAAAGGCCTGCATGATGGGATGGGAAGAGGAGGGGGGGCAGCGGGAGGAGGGAGAACGCGGGGCGCTGCCTCTTCAGGACCCACCACCGCAGGACGGTTAGGAATTATACGCACGGGAACTCCTCATCTGCCGCGACATAACACTCGGTCCAAGCGCTCACGCAGGGCGATCACACTGCAGAATATGAACTGAGGCGTGTACGGATCCTTCTCTGTTGCATCGCCCACCACCGTCCAATGTCCCCTCACAGTCCCCTCACAGGCTGTCGGGCAACCCTGCTGGATCAGGAGGCAGCGGAGGGTCAGCCACAAAGTCTTGAACCTCACGCGTGCAATACACCGCCAGCAGATCTCACCGCTCCCCTGGGGAAAAAGATCCGACGACGGTCACGGTGGTGACTTCAAGACTCTCAGGTAGCCGAAGCCATGAAGAGAATCGTATGAGCCAAGAGCAACATGGTAAAGCGACTGCTGACCACCAAGAGGATATGATTCATTGAAATGCGTGATCACACGCGGCAGGTGACCCTCAAACGACGGTGGCTGCAATGGCGTCGGAGTCCTCTGCAGAGAACCCTCCACCGACAATATCGCCGTGACTTTGCATATGCGCTACACGACTGCCTAGCAATGCACCCAAGAGAAGAGTATGCAAGTCCAGATGGAATCACACAGACAGAAATGCCGGAGGCCAAGAGCATCGGCGCGAAACTTCTTAGGGAGACCCACACTGGGTGCACGCAATCACCTCTTTCGGCAGCGCATCACCACATCACGAGAGACATGATGACGAGGACGAGGATGAGGATGATGACGAGTAAAAAACATGAGGACAACGACGAAGACGAGGATGGGTCTGAAATGAGAGGCTCCCTCCTTCTCGGCTGCGCCCTCTGGCTGAACAGGCTGCGCCGCTGGTCTGCCACGAGAGTCAGGGCGAGCAGAATCCTGAAAAGAGGAGAATGACGGGAGGTGGGAACTTCAAGGCGAGCGGGGTGAGGGTGCGGGTGCGGGCAAAGGGAAGGAAGACCGTCTCCGGAGGTCTCCGGAGGTCATCAGGAGACCCCAGAAGTCCCCGGGGAGACCGCGAGGCCTCCAGAGGCCTCTGGAGGCCCACGGAGAGCCAACACCATCGAAAACCACCCTGGCGAAAGACCCCACCTAATGCGGGTGCGAGTAACGCACTTGTGACTAGCGTCCTCGCTGGAGCTCCCTGGTGGGCCACGACGCGCGTGACGGGCGTGCCAAATTGGGTGCGGGTCCATCACGTGGGCGCTGCCACTGGGGCCTGCGGTGGAGCTCCATATGGGGCCACGAAGCGTGTGAGGGGGGCGCCGAAATCGGGGGGTGGGACATGCCGGCGCTGCCGCTGGGGCCTTCGGTGGAGCTCCCCGGGGGGCCACGAAACGTGTGAGGGGTGTGTCGACATGGACGGTGGAACCGCATGCGGGCGCTGCCACTGGGGCCTTCGGTGGAGCTTGAGGGGTGCACCGAAATGGAAGGTGGAACCGCATGCGGGCGCTGCCACTGGGGCCTTAGGTGGAGCCCCCATAGACATGGAGGTGGAACGGCATGCCGGCGCTGCCACTGGGGCTCTCGGTGGAGCTCCATATGGGGCCACGGAACGTGTGAGCGGTGCACCGAAATTGCAGGTGGAACCGCATGCGGGCGCTGCCAACGGGGCCTTTGGTGGAGCCCCCGATGGGGCCACGAAACGTTTGAGAGGTGCGCCGAAACCGACGTCGGAACTGCATGCGGGCGCTGCCACTGGGGCCCTCGGTGAAGCTCACTATGAGGCCACGAAACATGTGAGGGGTGTTTCGAAATGGACGGTGGAACCGCATGGGAGCGCAGCCATTGGGGCCTTCGGTGGAACTCCCTATGAGGCAACACGTGTGAGGGGTGTGCCAGAATGAACGGTGGAACCGCATGCGGGCGCTGCCACTGGAGCCTTCGGTGGAGCTTCCCATGGGGCCAAGAAACGTATGGGGGAGGCACCGACATGAGAGGAACCGCATGTGGGCGCTGCTACTGGGGCCTTCGGTGTAGCTCACTACGGGTCAACGAACCGTGTGCACGGTGCGCCGACATTGCAGGTGGAACCGCATGCGGGCTCCGCCACTGGGGCCCTCGGCGGAGCCGATGGAGCCCCCTATGGGGCCACGGAACGTGTGAGAGGTGCACCGAAACGGACGTCGGAAAGGCGCTGCCGCTGGGGCCCTCGGTGGAGCTCCCTAGGGGGCCACGAAACGTGTGCGGGGTGTGCCGACATGGACGGTGGAACTGCATGCGGGCGCTGCCACTGGGGCCCTCGGCGGAGCTCCCGATGGGATCATGAAACGTGTGGAGGGGTGTGCCGAAACAATGACATGTGGAGGGCAAAGGCCTGGATGGAGGAGGAGGAGGAGGAGGAGGAGGAGGCGCAGCGGGAGGAGGGAGAACGCGGGGCGCTACCTCTTCAGGACCCACCACTGCAGGATGGTTGTGAATTATACACACGGGAACTCCGCGTCTGCCGCAACATAACACTCGGTCCAAGCGCTCCTGCAGGGCGATCACACTGCAGAGTGTGAACTGCTGCATGCACGGATGCTTCTCCGTTGCATCGCCCACCACCGTCCAATGTCCCCTCACAGGCTGTCGGGCAATCCTGCTGGATCAGGAGGCAGCGGAGGATCAGACACAAAGTCTTAGATCTCACGCGTGCAATACACCGCAAGCAGGTCACACCGCTCCCCTGGGGAAAAGATCCGGCGACGGTCACGGTGGTGACTTCAAGACTCTCAGGTAGCCGAAGCCACGAAGAGAATCGTATGAGCCCAGAGCAACATGGCAAAGCGACGGCTGACCACCAAGAGGATATGATTCATTGAAATGCGTGATCACACGCGGCAGGTGACCCTCAAACGACGGTGGCTGCAATGGCGTCGGAGTCATCTGCAGAGAGCCCTCCACCGACAATATCGCCGTGACTTTGTTTATGCGCTACACGACTGCCTAGCAATGCACCCAAGAGAAGAGTATGCAAATCCAGATGGAATCACACAGGCAGAAATGCCGGAGGCCAAGAGCATCGCGCGAAATGTCTTAGGGAGCCCCACACTGCGTGCACGCAATCACCTCTATTGGCAGCGCATCACCACGTCGCGAGAGACATGATGACAAGGGCGGGGATGATAATGATGGCGAGTAAAAAGCATGAGGACAACAACGAAGACGAGGATGGGTCTGAAATGAGAGGCTCCCTCCTTCTCGGCTGCGCCCTCTGGTTGAACAGGCTGCGCCGCTGGTCTGCCACGAGAGTCAGGGCGAGCAGAATCCTGAAAAGAGGAGTGCGGGGAATGACGGGAGGTGGGAACTTCAAGGCGAGCGGGGTGAGGGTGCGGGTGCGGGCAAAGGGAAGGAAGACCGTCTCCGGAGGTCTCTGGAGGTCATCAGGAGGCCCCGACCTGGGGACCGCGAGGCCTCCAGAAGCCTCTGGAGGCCCACGGAGAGCCAACACCATCGAAAACCACCCTGGCGAAAGACCCCACCTAATGCGGGTGCGAGTAACGCACTTGTGACTAGCGTCCTCGCTGGAGCTCCCTGGTGGGCCACGACCCGCGTGACGGGAGTGCCAAATTGGGTGCGGGTCCATCACGTGGGCGCTGCCACTGGGGCCTGCGGTGGAGCTCCATATGGGGCCACGAAGCGTGTGAGGGGGGCGCCGAAATCGGGGGGTGGGGCATGCGGGCGCTGCCGCTGGGGCCTTCGGTGGAGCTCCCCAGGGGGCCACGAAACGTGTGAGGGGTGCGCCGACATGGACGGTGGAACCACATGCGGGCGCTGCCACTGGGGCTTCGGTGCAGCTTGAGGGGTGCGCCGAAATGGAAGGCGGGACCGCATGCGGGCGCTGCCACTGCAGCCTCAGGTGGAGCCCCCATATGGGGCCACGAAGCGTGTGAGGGGTTCGCCGACATGGAGGTGGAACCGCATGCCGGCGCTGCCACTGGGGCTCTCGGTGGAGCTCCATATGGGGCCATGGAACGTGTGAGCGGTGCACCGAAACTGCAGGTGGAACCGCATGCGGGCGCTGCCAACGGGGCCTTTGGTGGAGCCCCCGATGGGGCCACGAAGCGTGTGAGAGGTGCGCCGAAACCGACGTCGGAACTGCATGCGGGCGCTACCACTGGGGCCCTCGGTGGAGCTCACTATGAGGCCACGAAACATGTGAGGGGTGTTTCGAAATGGACGGTGGAACCGCATGGGAGCGCAGCCATTGGGGCCTTCGGTGGAACTCCCTATGAGGCAACACGTGTGACGGGTGTGCCAGAATGGACGGTGGAACCGCATGCGGGCGCTGCCACTGGGGCCTTCGGTGGAACTTCCCATGGGGCCAAGAAACGTATGGGGGAGGCACCGACATGAGAGGAACCGCATGTGGGCGCTGCCACTGGGGCCTTCGGTGTAGCTCCCTACGGGTCAACGAACCGTGTGCACGGTGCGCCGACATCGCAGGTGGAACCGCATGCGGGCGCCGCCACTGGGGCCCTCGGCGGAGCCGGTGGAGCCCCCTAAGGGGCCACGGAACGTGTGAGAGGTGCACCGAAACGGACGTCGGAACTGCATGCGGGCGCTGCCGCTGGGGCCCTCGGTGGAGCTCCCTAGAGGGCCACGAAACGTGTGCGGGGTGTGCCGACATGGACGGTGGAACTGCATGCGGGCGCTGCCACTGGGGCCCTCGGCGGAGCTCCCGATGGGATCATGAAACGTGTGGAGGGGTGTGCCGAAACAATGACATGTGGAGGGCAAAGGCATGGATGGAGGAGGAGGAGGAGGAGGAGGAGGAGGAGGAGGCGCAGCGGGAGGAGGGAGAACGCGGGGCGCTACCTCTTCAGGACCCACCACTGCAGGATGGTTGTGAATTATACACACGGGAACTCCGCGTCTGCCGCAACATAACACTCGGTCCAAGCGCTCCTGCAGGGCGATCACACTGCAGAGTGTGAACTGCTGCATGCACGGATGCTTCTCCGTTGCATCGCCCACCACCGTCCAATGTCCCCTCACAGGCTGTCGGGCAATCCTGCTGGATCAGGAGGCAGCGGAGGATCAGACACAAAGTCTTAGATCTCACGCGTGCAATACACCGCAAGCAGGTCACACCGCTCCCCTGGAGAAAAAGATCCGACGACGGTCACGGTGGTGACTTTAAGACTCTCAGGTAGCCGAAGCCACGAAGAGAATCGTATGAGCCAAGAGCAGCATGGCAAAGCGACGGCTGACCACCAAGAGGATATGATTCATTGAAATGCGTGATCACACGCGGCAGGTGACTCTCAAACGACGGTGGCTGCAATGGCGTCGGAGTCGTCTGCAGAGAACCCTCCAATGCACCCAAGAGAAGAGTATGCAAATCCAGATGGAATCACACAGGCAGAAATGCCGGAGGCCAAGAGCATCTCGCAAAATATCTGAGGGAGCCCCACACTGGCTGCACGCAATCACCTCTATTGGCAGCGCATCACCACGTCGCGAGAGACATGATGACAAGGACGAGGATGATAATGATGACGAGTAAAAAGCATGAGGACAACGACGAAGACGAGGATGGGTCTGAAATGCGAGGCTCCCTCCTTCTCGGCTGCGCCCTCTGGCTGAACAGGCTGCGCCGCTGGTCTGCCACGAGAGTCAGGGCGAGCAGAATCCTGAAAAGAGGAGAATGACGGGGGGTGGGAACTTCAAGGCGAGCGGGATGAGGATGCGAGTGCGGCCAAATTGAACCAAGACCGTCTCCGGAGGTCTCTGGAGGTCATCAGGAGGCCCCGAAGTCCCCAGGGAGACCGCGAGGCCTCCAGAAGCCTCTGGAGGCCCACGGAGAGCCAACACCATCGAAAACCACCCTGGCGAAAGACACACCTAATGCGGGTGCGAGTAACTCACTTGTGACTAGCGTCCTCGCTGGAGCTCCCTGGTGGGCCACGACGCGCGTGACGGGCGTGCCAAATTGTGTGCGGGTCCATCACGTGGGCGCTGCCACTGGGGCCTGCGGTCGAGCTCCATATGGGGCCACGAAGCGTGTGAGGGGGGCGCCGAAATCGGGGGGTGGGACATGCGGGCGCTGCCGCTGGGGCCTTCGGTGGAGCTCCCTTGGGGGCCACGAAACGTGTGCGGGGTGTGCCGACATGGACGGTGGAACCACATGCGGGCGCTGCCACTGGGGCCTTCGGCGGAGCTTGAGGGGTGCGCCGAAATTGCAGGTGGAACCGATGCGGGCGCTGCCACTGGGGCCTTAGGTGGAGCCCCCATATGGGGCCACGAAGCGTGTGAGGGGTTCGCCGACATGGAGGTGGAACCGCATGCAGGCGCTGCCACTGGGGCTCTCGGTGAAGCTCCATATGGGGCCACGGAACGTGTGAGCGGTGCACCGAAATTGCAGGTGGAACCGCATGCGGGCGCTGCCAACGGGGCTTTAGGTGGAGCCCCCTATGGGGCCACGAAACGTGTGAGAGGTGCACCGAAACGGACGTCGGAACTGCATGCGGGCGCTGCCGCTGGGGCTGTCGGTGGAGCCTCCTGAGGGGCTACGAAACATGTGAAGGCTGCACCGAAATGAGGGTGGAACCGCATGCGGGCGCTGTCACTGAGGCCTTCGGTGAAGCTCCCTGTGGAGCCACGAAGCATGTGAAGGGTGCGTGAGCTCACGGAACATATGAGGGATGCGCCGAAATGAGGGGTGGAATCGCATGCGGGCGCTGCCGCTGGGGTCGTCAATAGAGCCCCATGCGGGGCCACGAAATGTGCGAGGGGTGCGCCGAGATCAAGAGGTTGAACCGCATACGGGCGCTGCCCCTGAAACCTTCGGTGGAGCTCCCGGTGGGGTCACGAAGCGTGTGAAGGGGGCACCGACATGGACGGTGGAACCGCATGCGGACTGCCACTGGGACTTCTGTGAGGGCTGCGCCGAAATGAGGGTGGAACCGCATGCGGGCGCTGCCACTGGGGCTTTCAGTGGAGCTCCTTATCTAGCAACGAAGCATGCGCGGGCTGCGCCAAATGGACATGCGGAGGGCAGAGGCAGGGATAAGAGGAGGAAGGATGGAGGAGAGAGGGGAGGAGGAGGAGGAGGAGAAGGAGGAGGAGGAGGAGGAGGAGGAGGAGGAGGTGAAGAAGGGGGAGGAGGAGGAGGAGGAGGAGGAGGAGGAGGAGGAGAAGGAGGAGAAGGATTTATATACACACACACACATATATATATGTATATATATATACGTGCATATATTCGCGTATCAATATCACTGTCTGTTCATCGTCACAACCATTTGGACAACCATCGGGACAACCACAGGGACAACCATCGGGACAAGCATCGGGACAACCATCGAGACAATCCTCGGGACAACCGTCGGGACCACCATCGGGACAACCATCGAGGCAACCATCGGGACAACCGCAGCACAACCACAGGAAAACAACGCTGTACCGGCCGCTAGAGGAGTCTTTTGGTCCGATTGCGCACAAGCAACGGCGGGATCACTCCTTCCCCGCACAGGCAGCGTCGCCTCGCCCGCACGCACGACACGAAGATGAAACCGAAACCGATGTCCTGGCGGGGGGTCTCCGTATCACTTCGATATCATCCCCCAACCTCTAATACATACATTTATTTATACATATGTATACATCTATAAGGACACATGTGCATACATACATACATGCATGCATCGTACATACATTAATATATACATACATACAGGCATGCATACATACACAGAAACAACCATACATACACAAATGCCTACATGCATATAGGTATACAAGCACACACATACATGCATATATATATATATATATGCATATGTATATATGTACGCATGCATATACATACATCCATACATACATATATACAGACAGACAGACAGACAGACAGACAGACCTACCTACCTACCAACCGACCTACCTACCTACCTACCTCAATACATACATACATACATACACACACATACATACATACATACATACATACATACATACATACATACATACTTACATACATACATACATACATACATACATACATACATGCATGCATGCATGCATGCATGCATGCATGCATGCATGCATACATACATACATACATACATACATACATACATAACCGCCACCGTGCCTCTGGCACACAGTGGAGTGCCCCAAGGCTCATGCAGCACTGAGAGGGCTGTGCTGCTGCTGATGCAGCCAGACTTGTAAGTCACTAAGGGCCCGGACCAGTCGTTCCTCAGGCTGGCTCGGGGTCTGCCAGGCCGGCCCGGGGTCTGCCGGAGTCGCTCGCGTCGGCCTACCCCACCCAGGAGGGCCCCAAAACGAGCCCAGATGGCTCCAAGAGGCCCACAAAATGGTCAAAGAGGGCCCCAAGTCGCCCCAAGATCGCTCGAAGACGCGCCAAATGGCCCGAAGATAGGGCAAGAAGCCTCCAAGGCGGCCACCAGAAGTCTCGGAAAGGCCTCCCAAGAGTGTCCCAAGAGGCAAAATATCAGTGATTTGCCTTGGATGATTGAAAGATATTGGCGTTCTCGCCTTCTCGGCTTCCTGACGCTCCATGACGCCCCAAGAGGTCCGCAAGACCATCCCAATACGGTCCAAGCGGCACAGACGCCTTAAGAGCACGCCAAGACGGCACAAGTGGTGTCCAAGACGGCCCGAGAGAGCCCGAAGACGGCCCCAAAAATGGACCCAAGAGAGGGAACACGAACTGAAAATCCAAGCCTTCCGCCTCGAGAGGCCCCCATGAGGCCCCCAAACGGCCCCCATGAGGCCCCCAAGAGGCTCAAAAGAGGCCCCAAAACAGCCCCCAAGAGGCCCCAAAACGGCCCCCAAGAGGCCTCAAAACTGCCTCCCAGAGGCCCCAAAGGAGCCCCCCGACGAGATCCCTACGAACATCCAGTAGGCTTCATAGCCACAACCCAAGCACGGTGGGGGGATGGGCCGAGGGTCGCAAATATCCGCCGCCCCCTGTTAATTCATCACAGGGGTGCCTGGCGTGCTGGATCCTCTCGGTTTTGGTTCTGTTTTTTTTTCAAAAAAACAAAAAAAAAAAAAAAAAAAACTCATGGGGCTTCGGCCCGTCCCGCCGACCACTGCCCAGAGCCCAAATCCCAAATTTGTCCTCCAAGACGGCTCAAGATAGCCTTCAAGATGGCCACGTTGGCCCAAGATGGTCCCCAAGATGGTCCAAGATGGCCTCCAAGTCCGCCCAAGAGAGGAGGAGATGCCTCCAAGTCCGCCCGAGAAACCTCCAAGACGGCCCAAGACAGCCCAAGAGGTGCCCAAGAGGCCTCCAAGACGGCCCAAGAGGCCTCCGAGAGGTCCACCAGGAGGGCCCGAAGAGGCTAAAAACATTGATACCCCTCAGGTGTTCAAAGGGTTCTTGTGTTTGCTCCTTTTCGGCTTTCCGACGACCCAAGACGGCCCAAGAGACCCCCAAGATCGCCCCCAGAGCGCCCACGAGGCCTCGAAGTTGGCCTCAGGACTGCCCAAGAGGCCCCCAAGAGGACACAAAGACGACCCCAAGAGGCCCCCAAGACGGCCCAGGAGGCCTCTAAGACGGCCCTGGAGCACCCCAAGAGGGCCCCAAGTCGGCCCAGAGAGGCCCCACGGCTTCCGACGGCGTCAGACGGGCCAGGAGCCCACCAAGATGGCCGAGGTTGGCTCGAAGCTGGCCCAAGACGGCCCAAGAGGCCTTCAAGAGGGTCTCCAGGAAGGCCCGAAAAGGCCCAAAACACTGATTGCCCTAAGGTTGTGTGAAGGATTTTGACATTTGCTTCTCTTCGGCCTTCCGACGCCCCGAGACGGCCCAAGAGCCCCTAAAGATCGCCCAAAGATCGCCGCCGCCCAAGAGGCCTCCAACATGCCCCCAGAACCCCAACAAGACGGCCCCAAGAGGCCCCCAAGACGGCCCAGAAGGCCTTTACCCCTCCAAGACGGCCCTGGAGCATTCCAAGAGGGCCCCAAGTCGGTCCAGAGAGGCCCCCCAAACGGCTTCCGACGGCGTCAGACGGGCCAGGAGCCCACCAAGATGGCCGAAGATGGCCCTAAGATGCCCCAAGACGGCCCAAGAGGCCTCCAAGAGGGTCTCCAGGAAGGCCCGAAAAGGCCAAATCCATTGATTCCCCATGAGTTTTTGAAGGATTGTGGCATTTACTTCTCTTCGGCCTTCCGACTGCCCGAGACGGCCCAAGTGCCCCCAAAGATCGCCCAAGAGGCCCAAGACGGCCCTAAGAGGCCCCCAAGACGGCCCAGGAGGCCTCCAAGACGCCAAAGACTCCCCCTCCTCATCTCCTCCTCTTTGTGTTCCTCATCCTTCTCCTCCTCCTTCTCCTCCTCCTCCTTCTTCCTTCTCCTCCTTCTCCTCCTGATCTTCCCCGCCATCTTCCCAGAAGCGTTCCCCGAAGGGTTTCCACAACGGTTGGGGGAACACATGGCCCGACAGCTTGGCAAAGCTCTTGCCACAACGCTCGGACACGTGAGCGCTTTCAAACCGACTCGGGGAACAACTGGCCCGCTAGCTTGGCCAGGCTCTAGCCCAGCTGTCAACCACATAGGCGTTTCCACAAGGGCAGGGGGCAGCGGTGGTTTGCCATAGGCGTCTTCGGTGGATAGATGTGTATATATAATACATAAATACATACACATACACATACAAATACGTGTT